TTGGTGCGATTGTTGCTCGAGGCAGGAGCTGACAAAGATGCAGCAAAAGTTCTTTTTGTGTTTGAGTTTTAGGTCCCAGGCCGAAGCGTCGGCATCAGTGCGGTCACAGGAGTGAGGGTGCGAAAAGAGAGCTTCAAAGATTGGTTCAGCGTATGGGAGGGTTGACCAGTGAGTTGCCAGACACGACCCATGGGACTGCCATAATCATATGCCGCCCCAATTGACCCCCCCAAAACCACCCCAACATACCCCAACTGATCGTCATATACTGCAGTCCCATATGGAGTGTTTGACATCTGACCCGGTTCGGGGCAATAGCCGGAGCTGCTTCGGGGTGTCCACCAGGGCCTCATCAATATGATCCGGTCATGGTCTCACATGGTCCATGGTAAGGACACCCGGGCCAGGGGTGTCGAACTTGATCGCCCCCGTTTTTAGAGGTGATTCGGGGTGTCCATGTCTACCACCCAACTCCTGTGGGTCCTAGTGTAGGTCCATATGGCTTTGGAGATAGTCATAGTCATCCGCCATGTTCTCGCACCGCACCTCGGCCTCCAAACACCTCGCACCAGGCCGTTCCGTTCCGACCCGTGGCCAGGACATGGCGCGCGACTACCCAGCCTTTGGCGCCGCCTTGAACCAGACGGGGCGACCCATCGCCGCTGGGAAGCGACACAGCGAGCGACGACATGGCACACATCATGTGGAGCAGAGGTTAGGACCGGGGTCGATTTGTTTGGACGAGCGGAAGGCAGAGGCTTGGGAGTTTTTTTTTTTTTTTAAAATAAAGAGGGGATACAGTATAGTGGATATTGTTGATGTTGTTTGGGTGGTCATCAACAAATATCAAAAGAATCAAGCGCAGTAACAAGATCTTTTGGGGTTGATATGGTTCATGACCACCCATGACATTCTGATAGTGGAGAGGAGGGAATCTGCCGCTCGGGTGTTGATCAGTGTTGATTCAACAGGAACATCCTGCAACAACACTGGTCAAGTATGGTTTGATGAATGGGTTGTAATACCCTAGGGCTCCAAGTACCTCCTCAGAAGGTATTCAGACCTTCTAAACCCTCCCCAAACACCTTCTAAGAAGGTACTTGGAGCGCTAGGGATAAATATAGTACGCGACCTATCCATACCATTCCACACCTATCCCATCACAATGCAAGATCAATTCCGGGAGACCATGGGCACCCAAAACACTCAGGGTGACCGGGGCTCATGTTGCAGCGGCGGAATGAAGCAGCAACACGTTTTCGGCCCTTCAACTGAACTTCAAGGCACCTCAGCCACCTGGCCGCCACATGGCCCATGGGATGCAGTTTTTAGCACCAGTTCTTCCGTTTTGTTTGCCCATCCTTGAGATGCAGATGGATCGCCAGAGGAGCGAGAGCGCCTCTCGGAGAGCGCCTAGCGCCTAAGTCCACCCAGAGGCCTCCAGACCGTCCCTTCGCTCTGGGACGAACGCCGCAAGACCTTGAGTCGACGTTGAAGCCCCCGGGGGTTTCTAAAACATTCTAACACCACACGCCCCAGAAGAGACCTACCAGGACCCCCAGTCAGGAGTTTCTATTGATAGCTCCTTATAGAGGTATAAGGGGTGTCCATTAAACCAACTCCTGTGTGTCCTGGTCGTTTTCAGTGTTTCCTCTTTACATCCATCCAGCGACCTGCGACCTCCGAGGTCTACAGTTGCAGCTGGCCGGCCTACATGCCTTCGCACTGCGAGAAGAGCGATCACTGCATGGATTCGTTGGTGGAACATTGCCGCTCGGCGTTCAGCGGCTCCTTGAGCTGGCCGTGAGCCGCGTCTGATCCTGCGAGCGGCGGGGAATGATCTGGGCCGCACACCGTCTCCGCAGCGGACGCCGGTTTTAGAAAGGTGAACCGACGCTGGTGGAGAGGGAAAGGCACGGAAACGACCCGCAGAAGGATGTTTCGAAAGGATCTGGCGTCTTGGTTGATGTCCGAAGCTGGCAACTTCTGGTAGGTCACCCCAGCCAGCAAAGGGAAAAGGATCTTCATGTTGCAACTACAGTGGCCACTACCAGCACCACCGGCTGTTCTGGAACACACCTGGGATTTGAGTCTACACGCCACGACCTGGGTGGTGGTAGATGCCAATCATGATAATGATGTAGACCCTAACCTTCAAGTCGACCAGCTTCAAAAACGGCCGACCTGTTGTTGCAGGCCCCAAATCTTGAGTAAAACCAGGTTTTTGTTTGGTCCGAACCCATGGACCAATATGTCATAATATGTCTAATAAAAGCCGACCAGAAGTCGAGCCGACCGATGGACTGGGCACTCACCTGGGTGGGTTGGAACTTCGGAATCGGTGGGCTCCTCCCCACCCGAAGCAGAGAGCAGCGTCGACCCGGGCTCCGGGACGCCCGGTTGGACGATCTTGGGGACGAAGGCCTGAACTCGTCACCTACCCAGAACTTCCATTTTGGACTCAGGACTGTACTCCACCTGGTAGATCAATCCATCCACCACGATCGATCCGCGTCGACTCCGCTCGTCCTGAGGCAACCTCTGGCGGAATTTCGATGACGTGGCTCGTCTGGGGACGATCGGTTCCGATCGGATGTGCCGGAGGTCGAAGACATCAGGACGCCAGGTGAGTGGCCCCAAGCCAACATGGCAATGACTTCTAGTGAGTGGAACGCCGACTTCATGGAAAGCTGCAGAGAAGGAAAACTGCCAACCAGTTTTGGCTGTTTCCACAGTTGTTGCAAGTTGATGCCAGACATAGGTCTCTACGTGTACCCTCCAAAACTGCGACGCCCTAAAGTTTTGAAAGATACATCTTGTGAAATGGGCACGAGAATTGGATTTGCACATAGCACGGGCACGCATATACTTGCACATATACCACGGTACGGAATAGATGTTGGCAACAGCTCGCAAGCTGGTTTCCTCTCAAGAAATTCGGCTTTAGATGAACACCCGAGGAATGGGTCGCCGCACGGCGCATGGCGGACGTGTTTCCTCGTCCGAATCACCTTTTCGTTTTCCATGGCGCATGGCGAAGACACTTCAGATGGCACAATGTCACGCGTCACCCCACAACACCCATTATGGCGTGAATGGTGAACTAGTATTTATAAGCAAATCTAACAATCTCAGTGGACAAAGTTAGTTAGAAGATGTTAGAAGGGTTCTTCCTTAAAAGAGTGAAAAGAACCGTTAACCAGAACTTACTTTAGTTTGTTTTCTGTCGTTTCATATTTGGTTTCTGTTTTTTTAATGCCCAGACACTCCATGTATGCCATATATGCCGATCAGTTGGGGTGGTTTCAGGGGTCAATGTAGGTCAATATGGCAGTCCCATGGAGTGTTTGGGATGTCGGTAACTCTGCTTTGCCCCGCTGGCGCTCGCTCTGCGCATCCTACGATCCGAGCTGCTGGCGCTCTGCGCTGCTTGGGACGGTTCGGTCCGGTGACGGTTTCGCCGACGCGTCGCCCGCGGGCTGTACGAAGTGTCCACGGTCGCGGGTGTCCCTCGCTCGGGCGCTCGCCAGGTCCAGGACAGTTGGGACTCGGAGCCCTGGCTGAAGCGGAAGAGGAGGGCCGGAACAGGGCCAGGGCCCAGGGGAGTCAGTTTTTGTGAGACTATAGGGCTTTACTTTTGGGCTATAAGACGCACCGGTGAATTGGAAGAGACTGTTTGGGGGACCCTGCAAAAAGACTTTCGATCAGGCGGTTTTTCAGGTGCGCCAAGCACCCAGATCGTACGCAGGCATCTGTGCACACGGTGCGCATGCAAATCCGCAGGATGGATTCGCAGCCATCGCTTCGTCGACCCTCACACCTGCACCGTACTCATTCCAGATGTGAGAGGGTTAAATGGCGCGCAGCGGAGCTTGGCATTCCGCTAATGACTCCAATTCATGAAAGGACATCCACAAATACAACCATAAAGGAACCCAAAGACATCCAGAGACTATATTGATTCGGATGTGCGCCACCCGACACAGTGGAGCTCCGAAAAGCAACACTGATGCAACTAAATGATACTAAGCGCTTTTCTCGAGAACTCACTACACACCTTCCCAGATCGTTCTGAATCAGAACCCGTGCAAGTCAACGACCATCCCATGACGGTTCCCCAGGTGATGGGTCCCTTTTCAGGTCAGGTCCCGGATCGCCGGGGGCCGGTGGCTCCGTTGGGGCCACCGGTCTCCCGAAAGACCCAGCTCAAAGTGACACTCGGATTCAACTGACCAACGGCATACCTGGATCTTCCAACTCACAAACGACCGTTTTCATCCGCAACAAATCAGCCAAAAGGCAGACGTTTGGCCTAGTTGGAAGATCCAGATCAAAAAGGGCTCTGCCTGTCGAGCTGCATTGACCCTAGACCTCGCCACCCCATAGCCCTTTGACCCGACTTACTGTCGCCTAGTGCTGGTCTCACAGCTTCGCTGCCCAGGTGAAGAGCATCGCCAACTTCTGGCGCCGCCGCAACGCCAGCGACGAGATGGTCCGCGCTGCCGGGCCGGGGCACTGGAACGCCGCTCGGTTCGGGGGGGTCCAGCGGCAGACGAGCGGGGAGGTCTGCGGCGGAGGGCGGAGACCGAGCATCGCATGGCAGACTGGGGGGGTCGGGAGGACCTGGTCGGACATGGCAAAAAGTGGGGTGAAGACGGTGAAGACTTAGTACCAGGCAAGGCACTGCACTTGGTGGGGCCAGGGAAGAAGCATGACTTAGAATTGTTGGGCCACATTCAGGCAGGCAAGCAGGCTCGGATGCATGATTTGTAGAACCGGTTTCACTGGGGAACCTATACCAGCCTTTGCACATCGTTGCAGCCTGCGTGCACGCGCGGCCATCAGCACTCACCTCCGCATAGGTTTGCTTTCCCTGGGAGCTGGGAGCTGGGCTTGGCCACGGCTGTGGGTCTTCAGTTTGGACCTTGCTTCCCCCTAGGCTTCCAACCACCATTAATTTAATGGGCTTTACCGAATCAACTAAGGATTTTACACTACAAAAACCAGGTCAACCATTTTTTAAATGGTCTTGGAAGTCTAGGCTTCCAGGAACGAAGCTTCAATACCCATCCTGAGTGAACGAGGCCGAGGGCCCCAGAGAACGATCCGGTCCGATCGTGAAGCGAGGAACCCGATGGCCAAAGCGAGGTTCCCAAAGCTCCATGTCTGGCAGCCACCGGAGGTTTGGGGTGATGGACACCGAACGAAGCTTGTGACCATCCCATCACCCCCAAAACCGTTCGGATGGTGGGTTCGGACTCTCAGAATCTCGAGGATCCCGACATGCTGCTGGTGGGCGACTTTGGTCTTTCGCCCTCGCAGGAGCAGACCCAGCTGCTCGGAGGCGTCGATGGGTCGTGGCTCCCATCGCGGACGGAGGCAGGGAGTATTTTTTGGAGGGGTGCTTGGAGCGGCCACATGCCAAGAAGGCCAAATCCAAGAGGCAACTGTTTGCAGCAGGTGCTGGTACGTTTTCGAGCTGATGTCCTCAAGAATCTCAAAACATTGCAAGACTCAAGACAAAGAATATCAATCGTGGAAGCCCACATACAGGATTGACCTTTTGGCGCTCCGGTTTGATGGGCCCAGTCCGTGGATGCTGTTTGTACCTTTTTTGGGTGGCAGTGGCATCATGCGGCATCCTGGCATCCTTACAATCAAGAATCTTAAAATAGAAATAGAACCCCTTATTTTCCAGACAGAACTGAGGCCATCGTTTGGCCCGGCCCTCAGACCAACTTGGGACATTTCTTTTTCACCCCAAACAGCCCAAACATGGAAGAGGCAGAGGCTGGGCCCCACAGTTTGTCGCTGCAAAAGGGCTGACCACCCTTTCCCGTGTCACCGGGTGGGTGAAGGGCACACCAGCCGTCCATTTGGACACCTCGTGCGGCGCTTCGGGCCATGGCCCACTCCTGGCCCGTGTGCACGAGCCCGCGGAGTTCGTACGAGGTTCGCGCTGTGGGCCATTTGGGCTGCACCGCTCTTCATGTCCAACAATTTGAGAGACATCAAGCAAAGCTCCAAGGCGGGTGGGTCCTCCTATCTCCGCTGTTGTTCAAGGCACTCGGGTGAAAGCGGTCTCACTGTATTGGCTCTTCTGATCGATGCTCTCTGGGACGAAGAAACGTCCCGATAAATTTTGGGAGGTCCCGCGTGGGGTGCCTTCTTTTTGTCACCGTTGTCTTTCTTCTGAGGCTGCTAGGCCATCACGGCTTGACCAAATGGCCTGACCAAAGTGCAGAACTTCGCCCTGGGGAAGGTTTTCCCACCTCCCCCCACCGGCAGCACCCGACCGGGTGGTCGGTCCCACAACCATCGACAGGAGATCCTGTTGAACCGGGAGATCATCGCGGTGAATCAGGAGATCTGGATCCGACCCGGAGGGTTGTTTTAATACATGGCCCTATAGAAGTGAATGACCTCATTGTACTGATGTTGGTCATATACCAAAACACTATTACCTGGACCTTCAAAGTGACCTCTTTAGGGACTAAGTGACCTCATTCCAGGATCTCAAGTTCGGTCACTTTGAAGGTCCTGGTAAGAAGGTCAACGTTTGACCGGATCATGCTTTTACCGGTGTTTCTTCGGTTCTTCGGTTCGTTTTTCGGGGGCTTCGGTCACTAAGGGTCACAGCGCCAGTGGACCGCCACAGCGAGCTGCTGGACCCTCCGATCCTGCAGTGGTTGAGGGACCCTCCCAAGCATGGGACCCTGAACATGGCCCCTAAGAGTTCTTTACATGTCCTTTATCACTGCAACCTATAGATCCAGTGGTTCGTTCTCAGTCTATAAAGTTTTCTATATAGCTGTTATAATCATGTGAGATCTTGAAGTGATCTTTGCTCTGTAGGGCAACCAGCGGGGCAGGGCTTTGTCTGCTTTGCCGTCTGTGCGCAGCCGGTCCGGCGAAAGGGGCGCAGCAGGACCTGTTGGGACACCAGGGCTTTTGCGTGGGCGGCTGCGATGGCGATCTTCGCATCTGGGCGAAGCCCTTGGTAGGCGCGGTTTTGGCGAGCGCGCTGAAGCGGTGGTTGGTGAGAATGGCACTGAAGAGTGAGAAGATTGAGAAGACTCCGGGGGTGAAATGATGGCGCACCAGCAGTCACAAAGGGGCGCGATCCATGGAGGTAGTCGGGGTGCCCAGAACATCCACTCACTGGATGGGACGAGCCACACCACCCCGTACTTGTGACTCCTAGTAGGGAGTTATACCTGGATCTTCCAACTGTGCAGAATTTCTGCCTTTTCATCAATAAGACCAGGCAAAAGGCATAGATTTTGAACAGTTGGAAGATCCAGGTATAAGGGTTGGGTGTTTTTTGAGTCCGTAGATGTGAGGCTCCAAAGGGTGCCTTGTTCGCCCTTAGCGAGTTCTCAACGAAATCGCACTTCAGCTTATATAAGTTGAAAGGAGTTCTGCTCTCCGTACCACTCCTGAGCTCTCTGTCCTTCTTTTTGACCACGCCAAACTGGGACGGGACCATCTTCTTCCAACTCCGTGTGGCCTCTATGTGCCCACCACGGGTGTCACGGGATGGGGGGTCCAGAGGCCCATCCCGTGCGGTCGGTCCATAGCGGTGCGGTGCGTAGCGCAGGGGGTGAGACGGCGGCGGTGCTGCAGAATCTACAGGAGGGTGGCGACGGGGAGAACATCACCCTGACGATGGCCATGCGTCTCGGAGCTGAGTGCAAGTCAGACTGGTGGAGTGGGGAGGAGGGGAGGAAGACCCAAGTCGTCTGGGGAGGGAGGGAGCAAGGGGTGTGATGAGAAGACTGCAGGATCGCGTGAGAACAGTTCAGTACAGGGCTTTCAATGGCTGTTGAGTTGAAGAAGAGTTGGAAGACGAACGACTTCAAGCGAGACCTACGAGATTCCCCAAGTGCTTGTGCGGGCCCTTCGGGCCGTGGCTCGGCCCTGAAAAGCGGCCGCGAGGGCCGTGGCTCAAGCGGCCACTTCGGAACACAAACGGTTGCGAGAACTGGAGCTGAGGGGTGGGACGACGGATTGAGGTCCAATACATGTCATGATAACTGATACGTGTCCTGAAAAGCTCAAGTCATGAAGCACCCGAAAGAAGAGGATCATGACAAGGTAAGAGCGTAAGAGAGCAAGGCACTGACCAAGTGAGCACTCTTCGTTGGACGATTCCTAGCTGATGGATGGCGTCTTTCACATGTCTTTTCAGTTTGGATGTCAATCCCTACTGCTAGATCCTCACGTTCGGACCAACCCGCGTGTACGTCTGGTCCCCCGGCTTCTCGGCGAAACTCTTTCTTCGCCTTTGCAGAGCGGATGGGACCAGTGAGCCGAGGCTTCCCTGGAAGAGTCGTCGCATCTTTAAAGCCCGGGACCTCTTCGCCCAACAGGACCGATCCGTCGCTCGACCGGGAGAGCGAGGTCGCGAACTCGAGTTCGCGGAAGTCAGGCGGACGGCTGGAGCGCGGGAACCGTGAGCTCGGAGAGAGCGGGATCGCGGGCGAGGGCGGCCGATCTTAGCCTGGTTCGGTCCTAGCTTTGATGAGAGGGAAGTTTACTGCGTGTGTGTTCAATATTGCGGCAGAAGCCCATAGGACAGTTTACATACTGACATACTGGTTTACAAAGACGAGCTGGATCTATTCGAGTTGCTGCCTGCTCTGCCTGCTCTGTGGCCTCCTAGTCATGTAGAGCATGCGTGAGCCCTCCAACTGCCACTGTTGGCCGTTGCTTGCAGCCACAGAAGTCACGCATGGAGGACCTAGGCCTCTTCCGGGAAGAGCTGACGCTCTATGTGCACGTGAACTCGTGCAGGACTAGTGCAGTGGCTGGGAAGGGGGACCGAGGAGGGCAGGTGACCGACATGTGACCTCGAATCAGGTCAGTTGGATCACCAGACGTCGAACCACCATGTATTCAATAGCCTTTTACCGAACAACCAATCAGTTTACATTCAGTTTATATATAAGGATTCTACACTACACCGGGTCCTATGAAACCGGTCACTGGATACCTCTGTTGGAAGTTCTTCCGAGGGTCCAGGGTCGAGGCTTTGAGACACCCTGAACCCGAGAGAAAGGCGTGTCGGGTGGACTCTCGGCACCGCAGGATGGTGAGGCTCTCCGATGCCTGGTGTTGCTTAGGGATGATTTTTTCTATTTTCCCGAACGACTTGGAACTGGGGGAATGTGATGGAATAGTTATTTTGATCTTTTTGAAGGTGTTTATAGTTGTGTGCGGCTCCCGAAACCAGCAAATCCAAGGATGTCATTGAGATGATGGTCTGACCAATCCATGCGGACCGCGACGCGACGCGAAAAAGACAGCGCGGCGCCGTGCGGAGGAAGCAAGAAGTGTGGGGATGGTGAGTGCCAGGACGAAAGAAACGTGACCAACGAGGTGTGGGTTGTTCAGCCCCACGAGGTGTGGGCAAGGACTGTATACAGCACAGCCTGTTTAAATCCATTTTAAGATGCACCATGTTTTTCAACATCATGGTCAATCCGGACCCGTCGGACCCATCGATGATCAAAAGCCATCGGCAAAGAGTAGCTGCGCCCCACCGGAACGAACACCAGAGACACCACCGTCTACCCGAAAGGCCAGCGTTGCGCACGACGCTGAGGCAAGTGGCGTGTCTCCAAGCAACGCCTGGTCCTCGGTTCGGTTTCCGCCCGCCTGCGGCGGGAGACGTGCGGGTTTTGGAGAAAGGGTTACTTCGAGTGACGCCGTGGATGTTCAGAAAGGGTGTCCCGCAAGTATCACCCGTTTGGCCTCCCGTCGTACCTTCTGAGATCTTATCAGCGTTTGGGCATATTTAGGCTATATAGTATAGTGATGATGAGCTAGTTAATGGGGTCATTCTCATGCTCTTCACGGACACCCACCAACCAGTATGCATACAGTTCTTCTGGTTGGCTTCTCCGCCCTCCAGACGGTCCCCTTGTGGCAGCCTCTACAGGGCTTTTCTGCCACTAAGTGACCTTATAGGACCCTACTGGGGTACCTATGGGATAGCCATGGATAGCCTATAGAGTTCTTCAACCTCTGTTGGCCCCTCCCCACTCCCTCCCCACTCCGCGCCACTCCGCGCCCAGTGCCCAGCACCCCTGCGTGGGCACCTGCCCGTGCTTCCAATCACACTCGCTCGAGCCGGGCGGCCCGGGACCGGGCCAAGCGGTCACGCGGGGGCAGCTGGGCCGTGGTGAGAAAGGATTGCTATGCGCACTGTCCAGAAGCAGGTGTGGTACCCTTAGGCCCTAGGCCCTACAACCCAGACATAACCGTTTGAATCCTTTTGTGATCTGTTTTTTCCTCAATGTTGGGTGTTTGGTGGTCCAAGATGGAGGGTCATTCAGGTTCGTTGCATGGTATCGCTATGGCCGGCCCCGTTCTGCTTGGAGTGCGGCTGGCAGGGACTGGCCCGAAGAAGGGCATGTGTCAGAGGAGGTGATCAACGAGTGCCACCAGCGAGCGCGAGCGCCGCGAGAGCCAACGCGAGAGCCAACGCGAGAGCCAACGCGAGGAACGCGTGAAGAGGTATAGTAGGTGAAGCTGATCAGTAGTGAAGTTGAACGACAGATCCCATGAGAATCTGGTGAAGCTTCCAACTTGATGGTGGAATCAAATAGCCTCGCCTCAATGTTATGCAGGCTGTTGGATTAAGACAACCCTCCATATGGAGATGTAATAGATGTGCGACTATTTATTGGATTTTCTTGGTAAAGGAGGGTCTTATGTATTGAAGGTCTTATGCACCGCTCGAGACGTCCATACCCTGCCACACTCACTGACATGAAAGGTGTGAATGCTTCATAGTGCTTCCAGCTTTCCTCAGGAAGACATACAGGATTCCCATACTAAAACCTACCAGAACCACCCAAAGGATGGCTCTTGGATGGAAAGCACATGATCAAGAGGGTCTATAAACCACCCCTTGGCCTCCTATCCAAGACATGCATGATGAGCCTTCCACAATTGATGCTTGTGCTCCAATATGCAAAAACATAACCAATAGTCACATCTAATGACCAGATGTGCATCCCAAGAGGAGCCCACATCGATTTGCAAGAGGAACATCTTCGACGGAAGGGTTGGCTGGTTCGTTTTGGTTTGGTGCGGTCATATTGCAGTACCCCCTTGAAGTCCAAAGACTATATTTTGACTGGCTGGAGTAAACGAGGTTCCCTTTCAGTTCCCCTAAAGACCATTCTTTTTGTAGTCTTTGACTCCCAGGGCTAACAGGGATTCGGTGGATGGCTCCGAAAGCCAGGACGCCGGCACGCCGGCACTCCATGACCGAGAGCTGTGGCACGACCGAGTGAAACACATGGAGCGACACACATGGATCATTAGGACACTTTTGGAACTTGCCAACAGAGGTGGGTTGAAGAACCCGACTCTTCGACTATCCCAGGAGTCCCGGTACATCAGGTTTTCCGGGTCCTATGAAACCGGTCACTTATATAACGGAGTTATTAAGGGTCCTATGAAACCGGTCACTTATCCTTGAAACCGGGTCCTATGTAAGGTCACTGGTTGGTTTTGATCATTCCCAGACCGACGCCCCGACCTCCCGGTCCGTCCAAACCGGACCGGGGGTTGGTGAGAAAGCCACCCCAGACCCCCGTTCCCCGGTTCGGACGACTGGGTCCGGCCTCGCCATCTGGCCCAGCAATCGCATCTGGGAGCAGCTACCAAGAGAGGTAGCCAGTGACCTTAGAATTAGGACCCGGAAAACCTGGGGTACCGGTTCCTGGGATAGTCCAACAGCCGGGTTCTGACCCACCTCTGTTGGTTTAAGAAGGGGACGACTCGTTTTGAGTGTTTGGGGCTCGGCTCGTTCGTCCCATGTGGTCTTCTATCGGCGCCAAACGAAGCAGGTATGCCGCACGACAGCCGAACCCCCTTCGGATGGAAGAGGCGCAGAACTGCCGTCCGCATGGCCAGCCGGGGAGTTCTTTGCATGGCCAGCTTCCTGGCACCAGACACGACGATCCATGGGACTACCATAGGACTGCCGATCAATTGACCCCCCTGGCACCACCACCCCAACTGATTGGCATATATGGCATACATGGAGTGTCTGGGTTACAAAAAGGCCATGTTAGCCGAGCCGAGATATAGCATTTGAGTAGAGGGCCGAGGGTTTATGACATCCCGAAACGACGCCGTTTGGCAGATGGTGACCATGCACCCCTCCTTCATGTTTCAGAACCCTAGCCAACCTCATCCGACCCTATACCAGGACCTTGCTGTCTGGGTGTCCTGGCTTGAGTACCCTGCACTACTATCCCAGGATCTCCAGCTATTAGGACGCCCAGACAGGATGGTCCTGGTTGTTGTTTTGTCTTCAAGCTCTTACTGCCTTACTGTCTTTTGGACCTCTTGCGCCCAGTTCGCTCTGACTGATGTTTGCCTCGTGCTTGGGTCCTGGCCCCGGCCCGCATTCAGCCCGGCAGAGCCAGTGCGGCGGCGTCTCCCTCCGGACGCTTTACCTTGGACGTCCAGTCGTGACTCATTGTTGGACTCCCTCGGATGCAAGTGGTGGATTCATGATCATGACTTCCAGGTGGGGTAGTAGTCGTTCATGGACCGCCGCTTTCCCCGCTTGCGTGTCAGGTGCTGGCCATGAAGGAGACCCAGGCTCCCGGGCGTAGCCGGACCTGGACCTTCCAAGGGATGCCCAATGGAGATCCATATGTAGTGTAAAGGCTTCCATTGGTGACCCCTTGAAAGGTGCTGGTATGTGCAATGCTATAGAAAGTGGACAGTTTCTTCGTGGCTCAAGGCTTTGACACCAGCTCGCCACCTCTGAGGCTTCAGCGGTGATCGATTTTTTCCGAGGTGACCCTGCAAGGGCAATATGTTTTCCATTGCTGTTCACACGATCTGATCTACTGTACCTCACTTGGTGAGAAAAAATAACCTAATTACTCGTGATCCATCTCCCTCAACTTCGACCAAGATCGGAGACTGTTACTTGTACGGTCCTGACTTCTTCTACTCCTGGGGGTGTCCTTTCTTGGATGCTGGCGCCATGCACCAGACCATTCCGGATGCCCACCCCCCAACGGTCCGAGGCCACAGCGGAGATGCTGAAACAAGAGATCCCTGCTGGGGAGCCCGGTCGTGGTGTTGGGTGCATCGGCCGCTCGGCTGGCCGACCACCTGGCTGAGTGGACGATGGAAAGCGCCTTTCCATCTCTGCAGGTCCGTACCGCCACAGGGTCCTATAAGGTCTCTCAACCTCTCTTGGTATCTCAAAATGGGAGGTTTGGGAGCATTGCAGGTGATGGGCCAAGCAGAAGATCCCGATCGTCGTGGACAGACTCAGAAACCTGTTCTTATGTGATCATGAGGAACATCGTTTTGATCCGGACAGATGTTTGCGATGTGTTATCATTTGTATTGAATTTGAATTGTGTACACACTTCTCACACACACAGAGACACTCTCTGTCAACGAAGACTGCTGCAACGAAGACTTTTGCAGCAGAGGGAAGACAGGTAGCATTCCTTGGTGAACGCCCCTGCCATCCAAAGCCAAGGAAACTAAACTCCATTGAGGAACAATGTAATTATCGACTTACAACGGATGGAACATTGAAACTGTTCGACAGCACCTTTGACGGGGGTCATTCTTCTCCTGTGAACTCTCCACTTCCAGACGCTCCTTATATGGACTAGTGATTGACATGATGGTCAAGAAGTTGGGTAGCCAGAGGGGTTGGGATATATAAATCAAGGAAGCATAAGAAAGCCTCTAACCTATCTCTTCCAGTCCCATGGAGTGTCTGGATCTTCCAACCGTGCAGAATTTCTGCCTTTCATCAATTAAATCAACCAAAAGGCATCATAGATTTTACACAGTTGGAAGATTATGATCACTTCAAGGTCCAGGCCGTCTGTCCGACACGGTGCTACCTGTGGGGCTCAGCAGCAGTTTCTTCGAGGAAGATGTTTATGGCGATGCAGTTGGTCACAGCTGTTGGGGCCTACACAAGCACATAGTAGACAAAAGGTACGGTAGGACATATAGAACATAGTATAGAACATACGATCGACCTCCTCAGGAGTACATGATACAGGGTGTAGGGTCTCGGTTCTTGATCTTTAAGTAGAATTTACAGCTGTTTTCACACTTCAGGAATCACCACGGAACGCCTGGGAATCACCACCGAACACGCGAAAACGAAACCGCACTCCTCGTCCCAAGCCGACTGGCTGCGGCTGCGCCTGCTGCGCGTGCTGCGTCGTGTCCTCCTCGGTCGTCTCTGTGTTGGTGCGGCCGGCGAGCTTTCGGGACATCCATGCAGGGAGCTGGGTGTGGTTGGAAGGGCCTGGGACGCCCGGGGCGTCCCACCACGCGCTGGGTATGTCTGTGGTGTTCCGGCATGGCCACGGGGCGGAACCCCTGGCGCCGTTGATTCGGTGAACCCAGTGGATCCCAGGCAAAGCACATCAAACCACTATAAGGAACCAGGGGCCCTCGTTCGGTCTATGGTTTGGTCGTCGAATTGGAACCACTGGTTACTGTACCAGCTATAGTGGGTTTGCCTGGATGCTCTGGGTGATGATTTGGAGAGCCTCTCAGAGTTTGGTGTCACAGCTGGACGTAGCGCAGTTCAACGGGGGGTTCGACCATGGCAGTTTAGGTTTAAACTGAACTGACAGACGCATTTGTGTTGGTCACCGGCTGAATGTGGTTGACCCTGCCTCAGGAGCAGCAGAATCAGCGACACATGGTCTTACCTGCAGGGCTACTCCAGGTTAGGATTGTGGCATGTGGTTCGTAGGGCCCTCTCCCAAGTGCATGAACTTCCCTGGTGAAGCGAAAAACGACGGTGAAGGCGAAAGGGTTGGGCATCGTGTCTATGCGCCGGCATGTCTATTTTTTCACTTTGCCCATGGCCGGATGCAGGGCTCTAGAAGCCAATTGCGATTGTGATGATTTCCAAGGAAACATCTAGAGGAGAGGCAACGTAGCTTTACACCTTCAAGCCCACGTTCAATTATTCAACAAAGCCGACAGCTTAGGATGTACATATTCCTCGAAGGCCTTCAGCTATCAGATAGCTCCTTCTTCTCATCCCCATGTCTTCTTCCCATCACATCCATCACAGCTCCACAGCTCCAGCTAGCCGCAGCTAGCCATGGAGAACCGTTCCCTTCAGCTGGTCCTTCGCTGGGTCCTGGCAACTGATCTGAGATCCTTACCAAAGAACCATTTCGTCTTGGAGTTCAACCCACGGTGCCACCAGGTCAACCCTTCCTTTCATGCTCGCACCGAAGAAAATAGGGTATTTGAAGCACTTAAGAGGCTCCGGACTTGAAGGAGGTCCTCCCCTTTAGTCCTGGCTTTCGGACAGCGGAGGCCTCTTTCAACAAGGGTCTGAGGGTCTGGGTCATCTCTTGTAGGATGAGGGAGCGCCAGTTTCTGTACTTAGATCACGACCCCTGGAGGCACATGACATAAGTGGCAGAGATTCAAGTAGAAAGGATCACACAGACACAAACTCCTTGGGCCAGAAAGTGGAAGACGCCTACCTCTCGATCTTGTATCTCACACATTAGGTCAACTCAATAAAAGGTGAGGATTCTTAGACTCCAACTAACTCCGTATCACAAGTGGCTCAGGCCTCTCCTCCCAGCCTATCCCAGACACTCCATGGGACTGGCATATTTGCATACATTGGGGTGGTTTCAGGGGTCAATGTAGGCAAAGATGCCATTCATGGAATGTTATGTATTAGATGGCCAGCTCCTCATGTCTTGGCTCCGAGGCCAGCGTGGCCACTTGGAGCGTCAGCTGGTGGTGCCTGGCGCCCACAGATTGCCAACGGCACGCAGCATGCGCCCCTGCTTCTTGCGGAATGGCCATGGAGGATATGGAGTCCCAGCCATCCATATACCAGGACCATCCAATGGGTGTCGGACTACCCTACACTACTTAAGGATCTCCATTGGACACCCATTGGATGGTCCAGGTATATATATATATTATATAATATATCTGCCCTAGACTTCAAAGGCCATTAACAAAATGATTGACCTGGTTCTGTAGTGTAAAGTCCTTAGTTGATTCGGTAAAGCATATTGAAATTAATGGTGGTTGGAAGCCTAGGGTATAGATATATATATATATATATAAGAGAACACCATGGGTGGGGGACCACTCGACCTCGAGATCCTGCACTCGGGTCGTTTTCCACCACTGCACTCGGGGCTGAAATCGAGACCCACGAGATCCCCCGACTCCTGGAGGCCCCGCCCATCCCAAGGTGCTCAAGAGATGCAGAAATTGCCAGGAGGGGCCGGGGGGGCGAGCCGGCCGGGTGGGGGTGGAGCTGGATGGAGCTGGTGGGGACGATGTTGGTGCTTATTGTTGGGCATATGTGAGCTATTGGGAGAAGCAAATTCCCATTGGAGCAAGGGAATCTGTATGTCGCTTGCCAGTTTGGACAGGGGGATCAGCACCATGCAGCAAGGTCATGCAGCGGCATGCTTGGAGCTGGCTTGGCCGATGTCCAGCGATTGTCCGTGTAGGACGTCATTACTTGATCTCCATGACCGCGTTGTTGGCCATGGCCTTCTACGAGCTGTGTGGCCTTGTGGCCACATACTTTGACAGCAAGCACGTGCAAGCCTTGATCCCTCACATCAAGAGCAGGCGCGTTGTGTTTCTTTGCCGCGCCCGCGTTTAGCCGCGACACAGTTCGAGTTAGGCACAAGAACCATGTCAAGTGGTTTGGTGTCATTCCGGCGACGCCAAGGACACTTCAAAGTCAACATGTTTTTCTGGCTGTTGGGTAGGAGTCGCACAGCTACCGTTGTATGTGTATTATGCGTGCGCATGTTTGTACATCACACTCAGGAACAGACACTTCCGCCCACACCCATGCCTGTGACCACTGCTCAGTTAGCGGAAAAATACCGAGAGCCTTCTTGGGTGCTGCCAACACATGGGGTCGTGCATTTTTTTCAAAGGGAGACACCCAACCAATGGTATCTTTTTGGGGCTATTGATGTGGGCTTCCAAGACCCTTCAAAGAAAGGTTGACCTGGTTGCGTAGTGCAAAATCCTTTATAGTAAAACAGCTGGTGGCTCGGGAGTCAGACCCATGAAAACAGCTGGCTGTTGGAAGCCTAGGGTGTTACCTTCTTCCAGTCGAACTGGGAAACCCTCCCAACTACATATACACCCACATGCGGTGGTGCCAGGTCATATCATTTGGACCGTTGACGTAAAAATACTCCACGGCTCTCTGAGCCATGGGTGAAATCTTCCAAAGTCACTCCAAAGACAACCGCTCCAAGAGAAAAAAACACATACAACAACGCTCCAACAAACTCTCCAAATCTCTCCAAACTCTCTAAATCTCTCCAACAAACTCTCCAACAATCTGTCCAGCCCAGGTGTTTGCCGAGTTTCCTCCTGACCTTGATCTTCTCTCACTTGGCTCTGGTCGAGTGGCTCTTCTCCCGCTCAGCATGGCATGTCGCCCACGTGGGCGCGGATGGACTGCGGCCCAGCTTGACGCTGCGAGACTTGGCGTGCGAGACCCAAAGTACCTGGGGTAGCGTCATGGGAGAGTCTATGACTTGTAGGGTTCATGAGGAACCTCTGTTGCTTTCCAAGATATGGTCACCGCATGAATATGCTTGGATCTGTTCACCTTAGCCTTGTTGCTGGAGTGCAGCATTGCTGATCTTTGCAGCCAGACCCCGCCCCCCCTTTTGCAGCCAGATCCTAATGGACTCCCCGTTTTCTTCCCGTTTCCTTCGGCTTTTTCGCCGGTACCGCGTCTTGCAGCGGTACCGGGCTCGAGCTGAGGATACGTGGAATGGACCTTTGATGTGCCCATCATGTTCGTCCTGTGTGGCTCCATGGCTCCGACGGCGGTCCGGGCGGTGGAAACATGGCGATGCATGGCGATGCCAAGGCAGTAGGCAGTAGGCAGCCCATATGAGGCCGGCTGCAGTGGACATGTTTGGGGAGGGCAGAAGTGCCAAGGGAAGAGGGTTTGGTTCATGTTGGCTCCTTGGAAGAAGGCCGAAGAAGGCCAGGTTGACAGCGAATTACGTCGGGTACCCATCGACCGAAACCCTGCCCGCCGCGGAGCAAGAATTCGGATGCTCCTCTTGGGCTTTGATCGAGCAAGCAGCGCTGAATGATGTCGATGGTTTGCCTCTCCCGTTTGGGCTCCAGTCGTACCTTCGTTTCGTTTCGGTGGGACTGGGGTGGGTGCCAGGAGGGTCCAGTCATACCTTCTAAGGAGGTACGACTGGAGCCCTAGGGTCTATCAAGAAAATGCACAACTGAGGATCTTCAGCATGCATTGTTTTTTCCGGATTTCGGCGCTGAGATGCATGCTGAAATCTCATTTTTTGGTGAGGGTGCTTAGATCTTTGGACAGTTTTCACTGTTTGATGGGATGGAGGTTGGAATCATGTCTCCTTGGTCTCTGAGGCTATTGCTGCTTGGGTCGTCCCCTGAAGGAAGTCTCCAAGCCATTGAGCCTGGGCCGTGATTGTTGTCCCACGGAGTTGTGTTCGATGGTGAAACCGTGGCGGTGGCGGTGGTGCAAAGAGGTTTCAGACGCGGCTGCTGTAGAGACTCTCGTTTTCTTTTTTCTGGATCTAAGAGAGGCATTCTGGATCTGAGAGAGGCATGACTATAGCTTAGACTGTCGACTCTTGATCAATAGAGGTGTTTCAATTCAAGTGGGGTTATGAATCGAGTCTACATTAGTCATCAGATTGCTCCATGAAATGGGAGGAGTTTCGTCCATGCTTTAGCACGTATCCTCAGACCATGTGAGTTCTTGATAAAAGGGGATGACTTTACACTTGGACCCCAACCTAGTTCACTTTGGGGAACCACCATTTTTCACAGACACGCGGACCATTCTTCACTCAAGCATGGGGCAAAAACACGGGCGCTTTGCGCTCCGCGCAGTCGGTGTTTGTCCTTTATTTAGCGCACGACGAAAGCGCCGTTGCGCACGGCCACCGTCAGAAACGGTGAGCGGTTGTCTCGTCGGTGTGACGAGGATGGTGACGAACTTCTACATCATCCTCTCCTGGGTGGCCTCCCTGACCCCCAATGCTTGGATGAAATGGCCCCTGGGCGAGTTTTGCCGAGACAGAAAAAGACATGAGGAAGTGAGGGGGCTGGGGTGGCGTCAGGACGTGAACTCAGTGAAGGATGGTGGAGAAGGACACGCATTTGGGAGAGTAGCAATAAGGAGTAGCAATAAGGAGACCTCCCAGGCAACGACCCCCTGGAAGAAGGGAACGAGGCCCAAATCGGTTGGGGGGTCTCCCTGTTGGAATAGGCCGTCGAGCTCCTCCGTCGAGCTTGTTCAAGCCCTGCGCTCCTGAAAGCCCACCACGTTCAGCTGCAATGGGGAAACGCCGTGTCAGCGCTTAGCACAACGTTTGGAGAGCATTTCGTGTGTTTGGGATGGGGAGAGCATTCTGTCCAACCGAAGCCTTAGACGTCAAGAGACGATACTTTGGGCCTCCAGTTTTGCCTCCTCCGTGATTTAAAGCTAGTTCCCCTTTTCGGGTACCTTACATTGAAAGACCATCTTTTGATGGTCTTTGACTCCCAGTTCCCGGGGTTTTGGTACCTTTTAACACCGGGGCACTGCGAGAGGGCGCTGCATGAGCTCCTTGAGACCTAACGTGCCGTTGCGTCGTTCGAAGAAGCACTGACCACGTCGTGAAGGGGCCGAGGGGCCGAGAGCCATTGCCCTGCCCACTTCCAGTCGACACGGGAGGGGCTGGTAGACTCGGAAGGTGAGGAAAGGTCAGGAAGTGATTGAGGAACTTCCTGTTCCCCCTGGGAGTCGGTCAGACTACAAAAAGAATGGTCTGACTAGCGGAACTGAGTTCGGGAACCTCGTTTACTCCAGCCAGTCAAAATATAGTGTTTGGACTTCTAGGGTATACCGAGATGGGGGTGAAAACCAACAAATCTAGACCAAAACCGTGATGTCTCTCACCAACCATCAGCAACCCCACAACATACGCGGGGACCGGCAGTCGTTGCTGGGGCAGTCGTCGCCTGACTAAGCGGACCGCGGACGGCGGCGAGGTCCATGATCCTCGTGGCGTTCAGCCTCTACGTGTGGGTGGCAACTCAGCTAATGATAGACTTTGGGGGTCCCACCACGACTCTTGATTAATAAACCCTCCATGTGAAGAGGATTTCTAATTGAAATAGGGGTTTAGAAAAGAAGAGTCTACAGTCTACATTATTTGGAAGGAGCCGTCAGTCAACAAAAACATCACTATTTTGGAACAAGGCCCGCTACCAGGCCCCATCATCATCCAGTGAAAGATGGGGCGGCTTTTTGATGAATCAACAGTCGACTTTAAATGCAGACTCTTGATGAATAACTCCCCCATATGAAGGGGTTTGTCAATTCAAATGTGGGGCAACTTGTGCATCAACAGTCAACATTAATTCAACCATGTGCGGCATCCAGCATCACTTAAGGTGTTACAGACTGCCCCGCCCTCCATATGTTTCCCATTCCAGAACCTAGTGCTGGATGTGGTCACTGCCAAGGTTCTTTGAACAACAATTTCTTGAACAGATTTTTCCCGGCAAAAAAACCCTGTCTCAGGCCACTCTCAGCGAGCTTGGAGGAGCACATTTTTGATCTGAAACCCATCGACGTTCTGACAGTTGTCATGTGGACGTAACGTATGTTTGAATGGTTCGTTGGGGGTGTTCAACTCACATCCACTCAACTCACTCCGCCTCGACCCCTGCCAACTCATGATCCAACGAGTCGCTCCGTGTCGCGCGCCTCGTGGTCGCGCGCCGGGCGCGGCGGAAGAGCGCGGAAGAGGCACAGATGACGGGCGTGTGGACACGACGCTTCGAGGAGGATGCTCCACTGGAGCTCCCTTGCCGCCGCCAGACGGAGATGGCAGAGGATGAGTGGTTGGATGTGTGTGATGTTTCTTCCCAGCCCTGCGGCCCTGCGGAGGAGGGTATTTAGTTGGAATGTAGACTCTCTTGAGGCCCCCTATATGAAGAGGATGTTCCAATTCAAATGGAGGGGTTTATGAATCAAGAGTCTACATTAATTAGTTGGAATGTTGGATGCACATGTTTGGCCAGGGTGAGCGAGCAAGCAGGTTTGGCCAGGCAACGGAGCAGGCGAAAAGAACATCCCCAAAGGTCTATTGAGATCCTACAGGTGCTCGGATCTCGATGTAGTTTGTTGTAATCAAGTTTTTTTGCTTTGCAGTGCCTGGTGCCTTACAAAAATCCCCAGAGAAGTGTTTGGGCTGTGCGCTCCTTGTCAGTGGAATATCAGTGGACAAAGGCTACAAGGGACACGCTCGTCAGACAGCAGAGACTTCAGGACTTGCTCCCTTTAGCAGACTACACCCCCCTTCATACATCAAAGATCATGAGAGCCCTGCAGCTCCACTCTATTGGCCACCACTTACTTCCAAGAGAGGTGGGTCAGAACCCGAACTAGACTAGGCTATCCCAGGAACCGGTACCCCAGGTGTTCCGGGTCCTATGGACACGATCACTCCCCCCACAACTAAAGGACGGACTCTAAGCTCCACCTCCACTGACCTCGCCGCGCCTAATCCGCCGCGCCGCCCCCCTGACCTGCTCGAAACCGGGCGCGACCCGGAACCGGGTGCGACCCGTTTGAGGCGAGTTGAGGCCCCTCCTTTGTTACGGGCTGCTCCTTGGAGCCCAAGCCGCCGCCTCGCGCGGGGTTCGGGGCATTCGGTTCCACCTGGGCGGGTGGCCGAACACAGGAAGAATCCCGGGAACCGGACGGGGTACCCGGTCTGGGCGGATTGGAAGGGGGGGATGAGATGCAAGATGAGTATAGGCCAAGCGAATTTAAATACCAGCAGTCACGAGGACAGGGTGCGATCCATGGAGGTTAGGAAGTCGGGGGTGCCCCCGTCACATCCACTCACTGGATGCAGGACTAAACACTGGAACGCGTTTATTTTTTCCATGTCTTTCTCGGACTTTTGTTGCGTGATCCGTGATCCTTACTTACGACTCTAAAGTTCTAAAGGCATGGCTGGGTAGACATGGGTGGTAGACTGAAGAACAGTCTCAAGTTGTTTCTTATTTGTACTTGGATTGTCACTGAAGACAGGGCCAAATGAAAACAGGATCGGAAACCATATCGCAACCTGGGGCCTGAGTGACCCCTGTTTTGGAGGATCAACTATCCAAAATATGGTCTTTTCCTATCACAACAGAGGCCAGTCAGGCTCTAGGAATGTATATCTCTATAGCCTATGGCGAGTTCTATGGCGGAGGTCGGCACCCCTGGTTCTTTGCGCCTGTTTTCCTAGGACGGTTGTCGGGGGTGTTCCCTAGAGGTGTCTACCATCGATTTGGGGTCCGTGACACAAATCTGGAAGCATGCTTCCCATACACTCCATGTATGCCATATATGCCAACATTCACCCCCCTGGCACCACGTCCAACTCATCGGCATTTCTTTATTTTCTTTGCAGTCCCATGGAGCAATGCGATTTGGCTTTTGGAGCATTCATTCCTTCTCCAGACCTGCGAGAATTCACACCAGAAGCTTCACCCCCCAACCAACGGCCACCTCGTTCTCTCGCATGAAAGCAGCAGCGGATTCGCCGATCGCCGTCACTTCGACCTGTTGGGCTCCAGACCTTCGGTGACCACACATGGATTCACCATGGTTTCGGCCGCCGAGCCCCAACATCCATCACCTTCCTCCGGAATCGACCAAAAAACTGTCTACTAAGTATAGATCTAAAATAGATATCTAAATATACTGTAGATCTAACTAACATCTAAAATAGATCTAACATCTAAAACATTCTAAAACGGCCACTGGACCATCTTGTCTGGGTGTCAAAATCCCTCCACAAGTAGAGGCTCGTTTACCAGCCAAGGTGACCCTGGGCTCGCCTTCGTCCCAGACCACAGACCCTCCGTCCGGAGGGCTCCGTTCCGGACCCTTAAGGAATCTGGAGTTCTTCCTCTACGGCGTCATTTACCTCCTGGCGGCCGGTCACCTCATCGGCAGCGACACCGAACGCCTCTGCGGCCTGTCCCGGTGAGAGGGCGGGGAGCACGCGCGACAGTCCAAGCACGACGGTGGAGGAGAGAGATGGAGGAGAGAGACCCAGTGATTTAACATGATTTAACGCGTTGATCAGATCCAACCCTAAGGGTCCAGGACTATCCTGAGGATGTCCTTTGACCCCCCGTTCGACCATTCTCAGGAAGTACGAACTCACCTCCGTTCGGCCATCCGAAAAGGAGGTACCTGGACCCTATGGGCAAGTTTTGAAGTGGAGCCAAGTATTTCATGTGTACCAGCACCTTCCGAACTCGGGGCCTGTCTGGTTACGCCGCCCACCACTCCTCGGGACCGGACACCCCTTCAATTGAAGGTCCATGTAGAGACTTGATGAATCGACCCCCCCCATATGAAGAGGCTTTTGCAGTCCAGATGGGGAGGGGGTTATTTTATCAAGAGTCGATGAGGTACTAGTTTGGAAGTTGATGCAAGTTTCCTTTTGAAGTGGATCTTGTTGAGTTGCAACTCCATGTTGATCGTTTTTAATGGGAGATTGTCTTCGGCGATGCTGGTTTTTCGGTGGAGAATGAGCGAAAACACTGGAAGCGTGCGGATTTGGTGCACCGCCAAGGCTACTTCTGCTTGAACTTGGGCAGCAAGTTGGCCTTGGCCGCCGTCTTCGTGACGCTGCGCGCGAAGGAATACCATATGACCTTGACTGAAGTGCTGAAGAAGGTCAGTGTTTCCAACTTAGGCCACTTGGTGCGAAAGAAAGGCGGAGAGACGGAGGTGAGCCATGGCTCAGTTTGAGAAAGAAAACCCGGTACAGTCTGAGCAGGCGGCATCTGTCTGAGTCCGATTTTTGGAATCAGATAGAGGAAAAGGATGTGAGTTTCATCACAGACTACTGCAGAATACCTTCCAGACATCCTTGACATCTATATATTCTTCTTTTGGGGGGTTGGTGAAAGCATGCTACGGGACATTGAAAACCACCCCCAATGGTCAACTTTCATACATGCAGTGCATGAACTCTTTGTTGCATGCTTTTTTTGGGGGGCAGAAAGAGCGAAACACCCCAAAGCAACGGCGGGGAGTGGCAGAGAAAGACACGCCGTTCGCGCAGTTCGTGATTGGTCCATTCGTAGGAGCGCCGGACTCTTGCATAGCCCAAGTTGAGCCATGGTAACCCTGCTACCTGGACCCGACTGACCCAGTACCTTAGAAAATGGGACATGAGCCCATAAAAAGCAGGTACGACTGTACCCATTTTGCGAGGTACTTTGAGACTCCAGGTGCTTTTGAGAGATGCTTGTGCAAGTGGCCATGAACCTTGCATGGAGTTCCTGGCAGAACTCAGAGCTAGATCAGCTCATATCAGCTCCATCGTGCCCAGGTATGATCTCCATCCTGCGGAGCAGCTTTGACATGATCTTGCCCTGTGTCTTAGACACCTTGGGCTGCTGCAAGTTGCCCCAACAGACCTCAGGACTCGTGGCCAAAACCAGAGGTGGCATCGATCTCGATGCCTCCGAGGTAGACCCTGCAAACTGGAACAGTTTCTTGAACAAGTATCACTATACCTATAGGATCCTAAAGGCGTTTATTTTTGCTCCGGCTGTGAAAAGGCGCCTTTTTGCGTCCAGGGGCGGAACTTGGGATTTCAACAATCCCTGGAGGCGTTTTTGTTTTTCTGGGCGCGTTTTTGTTTGGATGGAATTTCATCGTGCTTCAGTGCTCCAGACAAGCTGCAGTGGGCTCAAGATAGAAACTGAAGGAGCCTGAACTTGCTTTTCAGTACGCATCCCGCTTTTTTGATTCGTGAATGCTTTCAGAGAGCTGCTTTTGTCTGAACATCCGCCCGGTAGGCAACATTTTTGCTCAAAATGACTGCAGTATCCCCTCCTGCTTTTGAACCTGATGTTCATGAAGTGTTGCAGTCAGTAGGTGGGGCTTGAATGCTTGCCTTTCTCATTTGCTCACTCATTGCTGGACTGTCTGGTTTTGACTCTGGATAGGTCTTCATGAGTTTCCACTCCACTGGTACATGGAAGTGCAGAAAATCCTATGGCCACTGGAGCCGCCTGAGGAGTATCAAAAAAGACATTATATGTTGCCCACTTTAGTTGCTGCCTGTTTGTGATTATAATCGCTCTATATAGTTTTGATGAAAGCCTGGGCAGGAGAAATTGTCCCTGACTAGGGCTTCCTTGATGAAGGCCAACTATGAAGCCCATGGTTCGGTGTTCGAGCTCGCTAAATTTTTGAAGACTTGGGAAAGTGAGCGTGACTTAAACTGCGTTATGTTCTTTTGACACTCTTTTACATGCATGATCTTCAATTCCTGGATTCGACCCAGCCTAAGGTAAGGCGGAGGGAGCGCGACCAAATGAGGAGATACCTCCAATCGAGCAGTGGACTGATTCACAGCCTCAGGACTCACAAATGGAACCCTGACAAACGGCGTGAGTCTGAGTGTTCTTCTGTTTTGGGTGGACTTTGTCCAGGTGGTCTTTGGCCGTGTGTCATTGATTTGTTTGAATATAGAGATAGTGAGATAGTTACATTAGTTGTTGCTTTACAGAGAGGTCACCCAATTTTGGTGCCGATTACACTCATTGAGCAATAATCGCTCATGAAGATAGAGCGTCGACCATCCAAACAAAAAGCAACTCTCCTCAATCAAGGAGGCGCCAACAAATTACTATTTTTTCTTGCTGATGTGTCCACCGCAGGTACATACCATGGCCTTGTGGTGGTGGGACCTGAACGAGGCCACGGTATGTTGACCACTCATTCATTTATGATTGTGACCACTGGGAAGGCCAAAGCGTCTCAGATTGACGATGGTGCTATGTATCCAAAGGCTGGGTCAATGAACTTATGTCACTCTGTTCAATCTCGAATTGTTTTTTTCTAGTCTCGGTTCCTGACCCTTTTTGACTTCTCTTGCACAGGTCTGGAGCCAGATGTTCTTGGACCTGTACCCCGAAGTTTTGCACAGGACATGGGAGCAGCGCGTGCGTGGTTCCTGTTTAGGGCTGAGGGTGGGACTGACTTACTTTTTCTTCGCAGCCCCTTTTCGTGACATCAAGGGAGTAAGTTACAATTTTGCTCCATAGTGATGGCGATTACTCGGCAAAAATCCCTCAAGCTTTTGAGTGGTTTGGCGGATGATTTGGAGTGTGACAAGCACACCCGCCGCAAATGTTTGAAATCGAGGGTTGTGCTTGAGTGGCCAAGTACTGAACAGACTGGAGTCATTTCCTTTGAGAGCGTCGCGTGCAACAGCGAGATCTTGAAAGTAGTGATCCGCAAGTGGTGTTCCCAGATGGACAAGCCCAAGACCCTTCCTGTAAATGAGTTGAAGACCGAGGCCGATGGTTGTGGTTTTGTAGTTGTTTACTTCTGGTTGTTGACTTGGTCGCGCTATTGTAAGTTCATGTTTCAACCAGTGACAGCTCATGACACCGTGCCTTCATCAGACTCGTAGTTCACTTTTTGTTTCGATTTGACTGCTCAGGATCCAAGTGTGGCTGAAGTCTTCAGGTGCTTGCAGGAGTACTGGCCAGCTCGGGACCGTGCTCATGAGGGCACCGAGCCAGCCTGTGAAGAGGAGCCTGAGCCAGTCCATGACATAGCTGGAGAGGAGCCTGTTGTTGCTTCCAGCCAGCCAAAGCCAGGAAGCGAAGGGGCTAGTCATGTTGAGGAAACTCATGATGAGTCCCAGATGGTTTCAGAGCCAACCACGCCACCTTCATCTAGAGTTTGTGTGGAGGATGACGAGTACTTAGCTTGGACACTTGGGGGTACTCTCAAGAAGACGGCAAGTCCAGGTTCGATCTGGACATCACCCAAAGGTCTCGATGATCAGAGCGCACACAATTCCTTGGAGCACCAACTGTTCGTTCTTGAGTAACATGGCCGTACAGCAAGCACTTGAGTTCTTACCCTGGTTTGTTTTCGATGATCTGATGATTAGCTGGTTCTGTCCTTTGTTTTGTTCTGTTAGGCAGCGAATGGCAGAGCGGCGAATGGTTCTGAGAGGGGTGGACGCAGCTGAGAAATGGACAGGACAAAGACTTAGCTTCATGAAAGTGTGATGCCCTGTTATTTTCTAGACATTGTATGTTTTTAGGTCCACCAGTGCCTGACAATCACGAGACGCTGGCTTTTGACGCAACACAAATTGCAGAGTCTATGTCAGGCCAGTTGTTCAGTTCATCGCCGTCGTCTGTTGAGACTGTAGAGGCATCGTTCATGTTATAAACAGAACGAGTCCTTTTGTTTTCAGGGGAAGCGGGTGACCTTGGTGCACATCTGCCTGCAGCCGAGCCACCCACTGACTTAGCTTTGTCTGATGCCAAATCCAGTGAACCCAAAGGGAGTGAACAAGAAGTGGACCAGAAGCCTCTGTCTGAAAGTCCAACATTGATGCAACAGGGCCCAGTTGAGCCAAGTGAAGTGCAGGTCGCAGTCGAGAAAGGGCAGGTGGAAGGGGGCCAGCCTGCGATTCCCACCATGACTCCTAGCAAAGTCGTGGCATCCCAGACTTGCAGTCCGACTTTACAACAGCTTGCAGCCGGGCAGGCTGGATTTTTTCTCTACCTGTTCTGTTGTCCTTTGCTTTCTGTTTTCACTTGAGTCGCTCATCCCCTTTCCATACTGCAGAGGAAGCCTTGGATCGCGAAGAACAGATGCTTCACACAGACGAAGTCTACCAGCAGTTCAAAAAAATGAAACGCCCTGCAGCGTCAAAGAAAACCAAAGCGAAGGGAAAAGGAAAGGCGAAGGTGAAGGTATCCCCGAAGAAACGTGCTAAGGCAAAGGCGAAGGTCAACACGTCCACCAAAGCAAAGGCAAAATCAAAGGCAAAGACAAAGGAGGATCCCCAGGATGCGCCAAACACAAGTGCCACCAAGAGTAAGAACCGTAAGTCGGAGGCCAGTTCACCTAAGAAGAAAGCGAAGCGAGCATCAGGGGGTGAGAAGCGAACATTTGCCCGTCGGTATGAACCCAAGCGCACTGCGTCTCAGCTGTGGTGGAAAGCGCTGTCCACGGCTTTTGTAGAACACATCCAGAACAATGTGGCACGGCCCAGCGCACAGGAGGACCAAGTGTCATTATCTTTTTTGCCTTTCATTCCCTCCTTTGTCTAGGGATAGTTTGCTCTTGATTTTCTGCAGGACCCATTTTGGTCTTTTTCGGTTGAGAAATGGAATGCGTTGGCAAAAGAGAAGCAGGGAAGTGACCTGTTTCCGACGTTTGCTGCCGAGTGGGCAAAGCAGTTTTTGGAGCTCCTTCAGAAGTAGCTCTGCATTGAAAATTGGAGACGCTTTGAAACCACGTACAGTGTGAATTTGAGTATACTTGTGTTTCAATGTTCTCTAGGTTTTGAGAGCTGTTGTTTCTGTCTCATGAAGAGTAGTGAGTGGCAGGGCTACGGGGATGTGAGGATCAGGATTTCACCAGAAATCCTAGAAAGCCGTTGTTTCGGGATCCTGCGTGCAATCTCAGCACACGTGGGCAAGGGGAAAGAAAAGTATTTGATTTGGCGTAGTCGCTTTTCTCGCGTACGTTCGAAGAAGGAAGTAGGCTTTGGAGGATTGGAGCTGGCTCCAGGTACACCTTGATCTGATGCCCCGATTTCTGGCGGCTTTTTGCAAGTACGGACATGCAGGTGGACCTGGCCAGTTTGTTGCTTGCACGTGTTTCACTTGCAATGGAAACGTTTCCAAAGGAGTCTGCGCTGGTCAGCTTTCTTTGTTCAAACCGTTTGCCAATACCGCACGGTTCACCTCAATCAGCCATGACGCCTTTGGAGCTTGAAATGACAATCCGCCGTCTCATCTACCTAGGATCTCCGAAGGTAGCTTTGGTGACATTTGACTGTGCATGATTTGTAATTTGCTACCTCTGCTTTGAGGCTGCAATGAGTGAGTGTTGGATGGAAGCTGAAGCTCAGGTATGGGTCATGCTCATCATGATGGTTGGATGGCTCAATGTTCCAACACCACCTCAAGAGATTGAGGTTTTGGAGCTGTTTGCTGGAACTGGGCGGCTGTGTCGTCTTGCAAAGGCTTGTGCAATCCCTTCACAAGCCCATGACCTGCTCTATGATAAACATGAAAGATCTTCAATGGATTATAACTCACCATCTGGACTGATGTTTCTTTCCTAGCATTGTTTGTTTTTCATGCTTTTTTGTTCAACCAAACATGGCAGTCATGAACCCTTCCTTGCGACAAACTGAGTTATGGGCCCCTTTGGTTGAACAAACTAAGACTTGCCATCCTGGCCGTGGTCCATGGCAAGTTCGGATATCTCCTTGCCTTGATGGGGATACAATGCTCATCATGGGTTCAGATCAATTCCGGGACGAGTATGAGGGATGTACTGTGTCCCATGGGCTTGGCAGGTCAACCTTCGGTTGACTCTGCCAATTTAATGGTGGCGAGGCGCATTTTTCATGTTGACGGGATCTGTTCA